CACCCCTACCTTATTAATTACAGCAATTGCTGCAAATATACCATAATCACTAAGTTATATTTAACTTTATACTAAACCCACTAGAGCCTTTTGTATCTTATACTTACAGCTAACTTAGACTGCTCTGGCCTAGACTATTACTTGCAATCAGGGCTAACTATTAAACTGCTATATTCTTGTAAAGTTTACTAGAACTCCAATACATTTTTTTTCTAACTTCTATCCTCTACTTTTGAACCTACAAGATCTATAAGACTTCACAAACTACCAATCCAGATGACCTGTTCAGTGAACCTGGCAGCCTAGTTAGTATATGCTTCTCTACATATGTTGTTGTTCAATCTGTCCTAGTTATTCTAGTAATCCTTTTTTGGAACCTTCTGATGGTTTAGTAGTATCATCAAAAGTCTATACTACCTCTTTATTTGAAATATCCAAGTAGGTTTTAACTTTTTAGTTTTTTTACTTTCTGTGCCCAGTAGTCTTATTATAGGTTTGCACCAAAGTCTTATGCAACACTAGTTATTGATATTCCTTTATGTGGGTGTAATGTTATACTTTGCATAGATGCCTCAGCTCTCATTCGAGATGGTGCAACAAAGGTTACAGATACACTAATCCAAATAATCAACAAAGACAGTCATTATAACACAAACCTATTTTTCAAAATTTGTCATTCATAAGATTTGAACTCTAAATCTGCTACTTGGAGGTTAACAATCTGACTACTTCATTAGATTATCACATTCCTATAAAAGAAGCAATTATTACAACAGCAAGTAAACATATACCTAAAAAAAAAGTATTTAATATAATAACTAACAGAAGAAAAAGTCAAAAAGAACAACAACAGAAAGAAAACATTGTTAAGTTACAGAAATTAATCAAGCATGCAAAAGCTAAAAAAACACAAACAGTAACAGAAAAGAAGTAAAATGAAGTGAATGAACAATTAAAGATACTAAACAAGAAAATTGATACAAAATTGCCAAAACTACAAAAACAATAGTCAAATATATAAATAAAAGCTATAAAAGGTTGAAGAAAGCTACTATTAGAAAGGAAAAAAAAAAACTGAGAATGAATACAAAGAAAACAAATAAAAGAGAATATAGATAAAAGATATGAAATAATCAGAACAGACCAGAAAAAGATAATAGCAAATTTCTTAAATAGGCCTTATAAGAAAATAGTACTTGACAGGTTTATCAAACAAACAGAAGAAAAAATGAATCTGCTAACAAACTTAAAAGAAGTCAGAGTAGAAGTAGCAGAACATTATAAAAAACCATTTAGGAAAAGAAATACAAGATTAGAAAAGATGTTAAAAGAGTAAAAAAAAATATATAAACCATGAAAAAATATTAAAAAAAAATAATATACAGAAGTTAAAAGAGAAATTGGAGAAAAAGAATAAAACTTTAAGAGAATTAAAAACAGAAACAGCTCTAGGCATATTAGGTATAAGTTACATTTTAATAAAGCAAGCAGAAAAGAAAATACAAAAAGTATTTGGAGGCTTTGCAGATTTATGTCTAGAAGAAAGAAAGATACTAATGAAATAGAAAATAGCACAGGTTTATTCAATATCTAAAAATGTTGAATAAGAATATAGTTTAAACAACATATAACTAATAACATTAATAGAAACATTTAGAAAAGTTGTAACAAAGATAGTAACAAGAAGGCTTGCCAAAGTGTTTACAGAAAAAAAAATACTCAAAGAACCAAATTACACAGGCCTTTCAAACAACTCAACAGAACAACTAGTATATATTCTCAATATGATAATAGAAAAAACAAAAGAAAAAGATAAAGAAGTATAGATACTTCTGCAAGACATGAAAAAAACATTTGACTCAGTTCTACTTGAAAGTCTAGAACTAGTATTGTAAAGAGTTAAAGTACCTAAAAGAATAATAAAATACATCCTGGATCTGTTCCATGAAAGACAATTAAAAATTATTACAGCTTATGGCCTAACAGTAAAGATAACAGCAGAAGACAGCATAAATCAAGAAGTAATATCTTTATTAATATGATAACTTTTCTATGATTCATTATTAGAAAAAATACAAGAAAATAAAATTTTAAAATATATAGTAGAACAACAAATCATAAAAAAAATGCAATGCAGCAACATCACAAAGTATTACCAAGCAGCCATTGCATATGTAAATAACACAACATGGATTGCAAATAGTAAAAAACAGCTAATAGAGATATTAAAAATAGGGATTGGAATTGCCTAAAATTTTTCTTAATCATTTAATCATTTAACCGTTTAACCGTTTAATTTGGCTGGCATTAAAATAATTCCAGCCCATGACTAATATAATTCTGCCTGGAACTATGAAGCAATTTTTAAATGATTAAACAGTTTCAATCTCTAATTAAAAATAGCAAAAGAATTTTTTAAGATGAATGATATAGAAATAAATGGATTCAAATCAAAGCTATTAATAATGAATACAAAAGTAAAGAAAGAGAAAAAAGAAGTAATCTTTAAAGGAAGCAAGATAACAGAAGAAGCAAAGAACAAAATAGTTCACTTATTAGGAATATGACTAAATAACAGAATGAGTAAAGTGTTAGTAAAAAAGAAAGCTAAAGAAATAATTAGCCAAACAATAAGAGATCTTAGATACAAAAAGATGACAATGAGTCAGATTGCATATATAAACAATATGGTAATAATACTAAAATTAAATTATATGCCATAGCTAATAAAAATGTCAAAAAGAAGCATAAATAAAATATATTAACTAATAATAAGCTTAGTGAAGCAAAAAAGCAACCTACAAAGAATATTAGAAAACTGCATAATGGAATATAAAGACCTTGAAAGCTGCAGAATACTATGAAAAGAATTAACAATAAAACAAATAAGTGGCCTACTAGCAAAACTAAACAGACAAGATAGTTTTAAACAGTTAACAAAACTAAAAATAATACAGAAGTACCAGAGAGCAGATTTAACAGAAGATATGAAAAATAGAAGAAATGTCAGAAAATATAAAAGGTTGGAAAAATAGCTTAGCTTGTCTAATATTGCTAAAAGCAAAAAAACTTAATATAAAAATAAGAACAGATGACAATTTATAAACAATGTTTGGTTATGGAATCAAAATAAAAGATCTTATAGATATGCAGTTATAGAAAAGAAGTAGTACTAGAATAAATAAAGTAGACTTAATTTATTTAAGCTAGCTGATAGATACAAAAGAAAAGAGTTTAATTATATGGCAACAGCTGAAGAGTTACTAAGATCTATTGAGTAAAGAAAAAAAAGCAGAATGGTTCAAAGCAATAAAACTAAAGGTACTTGTTAGACCAGAAAATAAAGAAGTTAAAAGGCAATTTAAAACAATCAGGCAAAATACTCAAACAATGCAGATGAGATGGAAATATATTTCAAAAGACAAAAAAAAAAAGAATAGATAGCACATAGTATACAGAACAATTGACAGTTAGAAAAGATAATCAAGAAGAAAAAGAAAAAAATACTAGTAGAACATTGGCAAATGCAGAATAAAGAAAGTAAATTAGTTATTGAAATTAGCAGATATAAGGGTTGTACAAGAGAAGATGAATACTGAAAAAATAACTGCCAACAGTAGATAAAAATAAATAACAGAATCAATGTAATTTTAGATGCATTGATAAAAAAAGATAACAACAAGATCAAGATTATAATAGATCAAATAATAGAAATGATAAAGACAAACAAATTAGTAATAGGAGAACAAAAACTTAAGAGACTAAGAATAATAGAAGAGCCAGAAGTAGAGATAACCAGGCAACAAAAGTTAAAAGACAGTATTAGTTAAAAAATAGTAGAAGTTTTAAAAAGAAATATAATAAGAAACAAGAACAAGTATATAATATACACAGATGGAGTAGCAAACTTAAAGACTAAAGAAAATATAAGAAGCAAATATAATATAAATATAGGATGGGTGCAAACAAACAAAATACAAGAATGGCCAAAAAAAAGATAGCATTAGGTCTAGAAAGTTGGCAAATATCGACAATAGTTAAGTTAGTAACAATATGGGCTGCAATATTAACAATACTAAAAAAAAAGTAAGTAAAAATATATACAAATAGTAATGCAGCAATAAAAAACATTAGTAGAGGTTTATAACAAGTATGCAAAGATAAGATTCTCAAAAAAAAGAACACAATATGGGTAATGAAAATCAGAAAGCTTATTATAACAAAAAATATTTAGATAGAATTTGTTAAGATTAAGAGCTACAGTAAAAATAAAAAGAATGATAAAGCTGATAGTCTAGCAAAAAAGATGTAATGAGTAGAGAAATAATACAAACCAAAAAAGTCAGTTGTAAAGAAATAGAATACTGCTTAAAGTGAGAAAACAAACATAGAGATAATATGTTTTTTCACCATAATAATTACCAGAATCTCATTCATCTTTTATATTTCTTTATATACTTTCTTTATAATCTTTATTGCATAAAGAATATATTTCTGAATAATCATAACAATCACTATTTTTATTACTACATTTAAGTGATAAATTGTTAAATTGCTCCAATGTGGTATAAATAACAAGATTTCATTTTTTTTCTGAATCATCAGATAAGATAAAAATTGAAAGATGAGAATTGAAAAATACATTTTTATTTATAGGTAATATGCATAACTCTGTTTTCTTTTTGTTATCTTCAATTTGAAAGAATCTAAAAGTTTTAGAGTTTATTCAAGGATCAAGTCTGGTTTTATTCTTATATCTTTTATATAATCTAGAATGAATATTATCTGTCAAAAGGCTTAGCAATTCTGTTAATTTAGTTTTCCACTTCAAATATTCAAAAGTTAATATTTTGTTGATATTTGTTTGTATATTCATATTGCTGTTTTATATAATTATACATCTCTTTAAATTAACAATAGTAGACAAAAATAAATATGCCTAAAGAGACATACTAAAAGGTCTAAATGAAATTGTTTTAGTATCAAATTTATATTGTTACCTTAATTTCAATTCTATGTTGTTTACATTTAAGATTATAAAATCCAATTTCATATCTGCCTTCTATATCATTCTCTTCGTTATGATTTAACTTGCATAATAGATATAGAGATTCATTAGTAATCTCATAATAATCATCATTTTTATCACTACCTTCTCAATATAAATTAGAATATTAATCCAATGTTTTATTGTGAAAATAGAATCGATTATAAGTTGGTTTAGATTGGAATATAGATGATACTCTTGCTTTAAAAGTATCTAATATACTCATCTTTTTATCTGATATTGCTTTCAGGTCAGAAAAAATGTATGCTTTAGATAATGATTTGATATATTCAATTCTTAAAGTCACATGATCCTTACTTGCATGAATTTTATTCACACAAATTTTAGTTACATGATCTATAATATTTTGAATTTGAGTATAAGAGATTAAAAACCATATTTGCACTATATGAAACAAGTCTTATCTTCTCTACTCCTACTGCACTAAAAAGTGTCCTTATTTTTCTGACTCTAAGAAGTTTTTTGCATAAATTCACATTTGTAATTTCTGGAAGAAGTTGTTTAACTTCATTATATACTATCCCTATTATTATTTTTTTTTTTTTTACCTTCTTTCACTATCCTGAAGATCCTTAGACACCTTTAGAATCTGTCACATCTCTTAAAAACCAGAGTTATCATTCTACAAAGATCATTGGACAGCATGTGGCCCCTGCATGTCACCAAACTCATGAGATAACTCATGCTTCATCAAGTCCACCATATGACATCCCGGGTCCCTGGCCCCATGGTGTAAGACCTACTATCCTTTTCGGTCCGCAGTTCCCTAACTTCACATGACCCACTAGCCGGATCGTCCGTATATTTCAAAGTCCTTAATTCTACCGTTATGTATTCTTAAATCGGGCTCTCTCAATGTTAGCGTCATTTGTTGACGGATTACGCCTTATCTGGTTGTCCCTGACCCTGTGGCTATGCCGGTGACTGCATTCTTTTTGTATGAATCTTGTTCTTGCTTTTAAATGGAAATCCTTTGCAGATCTTTTTTCCAATCGTGGTCCTGGCAGAGTTGTTGTCGCCCTTTGAACTCGAACTCGCGACCTTGCGATTGAGACCCGGGAGCGCTAACCACTGCGCTATCGACCCACGGGTCATCCCCATTGTTTTTTTCTTACTGACTTTCTTATCAACAGATACCTCAACTATTCTCTTGTCATATTTTTCCGTGAAATGGTACCAACATAAAATAGCATTTTGACCTGATCGAATGGCCTCTCGAAACATATGAACTATGCTTTGTGCAGAAACTAAAGATGGGTCAAGGTCCACTGATCCAGTATTCCTACGAAATATGCTTGATACTTCATCATTGTTAATAGTTGTTGAAAGCTGTTGTATTAATTCATGTTCTACAATAAGATTTTTCTCGAGAAGAGGAATAAGTTCATCATTTTGTTCAGATTCAGTTCTTCCGAAACAACCCTCTTCCAGATAAGTGACTTTTTGCTGATCGTCAAGAATTGGAACGTTTTTTACAGAAGAAATATTCTGGGAAATCATGGGTGCCTCTTGATCCTTTGGATTCTCCGCTGTCTCGTGTTGAAGCTTTTCCTTCCGCTTTCTATGTCTTATCCCATCACTAACACTTCTCTTTTACACCAAATCTAGGAATTCATCGGTCTTTCTATCCTCTTCGCAAAGTGAAGGGCTGGCAGTTACAACTACTTCTGGTAACGCTTCTGGTTCCACATTCTCTCCGAAAGGCATATGCTTCTTGAGCTGGACTGCTACAGATTCTGGTACACTGAAAGCTTCCTCAAAAGGTGAATCATCCTGTGGCTGTCTAGAATCTTGTTCTAACTTGGCAACTCTAGCCTTAAGCTTATCACTCTCAATATCACGCCTAGCACTCTCGGCAACAGTATCCGTCCTACTCTTCTCCAACTCCTCAATTCCGCTCTTGAGTTCGGCCCTTAGTTTCATTATTTCAGCTTTAATCTCGAAGTTCTCAGTCTCAAGTTTGGCATTCTTATCTTCAACTTCGGCAAACTTTTTTCTAAGTTCAGGAATCTCAGCATTCTCAGCTTCAAGGTCTATAATACGTTGCTCTAATAATTTAAGATCTGATGTCATGTTAGATATTTTTATATAAGATGTGAATTATTCAATGTTTTGTAAAAATGCCAAAAAATTTGCGTGAATAAAGTTCACGGAAAAATTTTATTAATACAGGGAAAAAAAATAAATACAATGTTCGGGACTTGCCCGTGATACATGACATTGATTCCCTAAGGAATCCGGTTCTATTATACATGCCCTATCCTTTAATAAACCTACTACTACACCCAAAACCTTTTTCAGTAACGTTTGAGATCCTACGGATTCTTTATCCTAGGGATTGGAACCGTTTAACCGTTTAAAAATTGCTTCATAGTTCCAGGCAGAATTATGTTGGTCGTGGGCCGGAATTATTTTAATGCCGGCCAAATTAAACGGTTAAACGATTAAACGATTAAGAAAAATTTTAGGCGGTTCCAAGCCCTAGTAATTTACTGCCTTGTGAAATCATTCTGGGGTGTAAAGCAAGAAGTGCTCGTCCCCAAAATAATCTAAATCATCTCCATCCCTCTCGCTTCGCTTTCTCTTTCTCTTATTCGTCTGTTTGATACTCTGAGCAGCGCCTACAGGGGGCTGTCTCCCGTTAACTTAACTAACCCATATAAACTAAGTATTTTCTCTATTCGTGTAATGTGCAGACTCTTTCGACGCCATCCCGGGATGGCTCATCAACCAACGAATAACAGAAGTCTGTGTGAACAACTGGTACAGTCGGGCTAGAAAGAGCTCCTTCGCGTTCACTCTTTCGACGCCATCCCGGGATGACTCGTCAACTAGCGAATAACAGTTAGTCCACAGCGTTTACGTGAACAACTGGTACGGCCGGGCTAGAAAGAGTGAAGGACGCGTACAGCATGAAAGTGTGGCTTATCACATCTCTAGTATTTTTCATCCCCACGTGATCTTAATAATTGTCACCCCGCGTCAGGGACGATGATTTTCTGCGGTGACAAAATGCCAATTCCGTCCGTGATAAAAGATGATTCTGCAAAAATTCTGCGATTGGCCGGAATTACGTAAAGTCGGCCAGCATTATGATCCACAAATTCTGGCCGAATTAATATCAGCCGGCATTATGATGACTGTAGACCCTAAATCCAGGCCAAAATTTAAAAAATGATCTGAACCAATTCCGTGATTTTCTGCAAAATTCCGTGAACGCAGAAAATCATCGTCCCTGCCCCAGAATCGCCGTCAAATTTTCACTTTCACGTGATGATCATCCAATAGTGTGTTTCGTTTTAATGTAACAAAACAAAACGTTCGCTTTTCAAAAATCGTTTATTCCTCAAAAACTTGCATAAGAAACCACCTTTTGAGCTCTAACAAAAAAAATTCCTTGAGTGATTTTACTATTACTTTTCTAAAACCTAGCCCTATTATAAACGCTAACTCTAACATAAATGAATTTAAAGATTTTTAAACACAGTCACGTGAAAGTGAAAATTTTGACAGCGATACTGCTTATGTGGCTTAGTCATGTGTCAGCACAAATTTGAATATTGCTTACAAGCCATAATCACGTGTCTGAAAAAATTTTGTGGGTGATCTATATAGGTTCTGTCAGGAACTACCCCAGTATCACCAACAAAATTACTATGTAATTTTTACCACTACGTGATAATCTATGAAAATAAGTCAATAACGAATCTCAATTTGGTGTAACGTTACGTGATCAGAAAAATTTAAAACAAACATTCGTTATCTGATAACACTAAATCTATGTAGGAAACCACCTTTTGCGCATTAACAAAAAGTTTTCTCTAAACGGTTTTACTAATATAATTCTTAAATTCTAGCCCAAACATAGACTCTAACCCTAACATAAACGAACTTAAAGAATTTTTGTATATCACATGATGGGAAAATTTTTGTTGGCGATACTGGGGAAGATTTCTGTCAGGGGATAACTGCGTATACTTATTTCTGCCCAAAAAGGAAATTTTTCTATGTAGATTGCAAGGTCAGGCGCAATCGTTGTGTAACGTGAGATCGAAGGATTTTCAAAACATCTAATACAACCCTTAACCCTAGCCCTAACGCTGGTCAAATCTCACGTACTTTTAGCAAAATGACAATCATTTCCTTTTTGGGCTTGTATCACTTGCAGAAATAAGTAAATCCAGAATAACTCACCTGATTTCCGCTACCTTGGCGATCACATGTCTGCACAATTTTTTCACCATCACTTTGTTATTACATTGAACCATTGTGAATAAAAGTTCCTCGCGATAGTTATTACATTGAAGCACAGTCATAATTTTACAAGATGTTCAATACTGATGAGATATATCCTGGTCGAACAGGCAAGCATGGTAATGAAATACTAGGAAAGATATTTTAGTTACTAATCATGTTTCGTTTCGATAGCTCTTTTAAATTATTTGGAAGAGACTGATCCCAGCCTTTGGTCATACGTTGATTTTTTGGAAGTAAATCATACCCTTATCATCAATTCACCACCTTTCAAAGATCAGTGGAATACTCTCGATGGTACATGGAATAAATGATTTGTACAAGCAGGAAAAGAGCTATTAGACGTAACGTTAAGGGAAGCTTTTGAGCGTAAGGTAATTTCATTTCAGTAATTTCATTCTAGTTTAATTGCAGTAAGGGAACTTCTTGACACGTGTCTACTTGTCTCGGAGTATCATGAGTCTTCCTGGCCCTAGTGATGGTATGGAAAACTCCTTGCCACGTGTTACTTGTCTTGGAGCATCATGAGTCTTCCTGGTTCCTACCATTGCGTTCTGCTCTGTTGTGTTTTTGGTTCGGTTTATTAGGGTGTTGAAATGACTAATTGTATACTCTAATTATATATTGTTATCTACTTCTACTCTATTTAATAAGGTGAACCTGGAGCGTGCCAAATCCAACCTGTACTCCTTTTGGCAAAAAGTGATCACTGAGCGACTACGGGTAAGACCAAAGAAAATATTGGAATTTTTAATTTTATTAATACATTCATTTCTGAAAAGAATCTCTATAATTATCATACTGTATTAGAACCAAGTTCAAATCACTTACGAAAAGGAAACCCTTCTTACGTTTGATGAATCAGGTAAATTCTTTGGAAAGAAACTGCGCTTACCATACCATAAGGAGGCAACCTCTTCAGATTGTAAACGTTTCCATAGCACTTTAGATTCAGATTCAACTTCCCCTGTGGAGACAAAGAAGGTTAGCATTAAATATTTTGCAAATAATCCCGCAAATTGTCTTCTCACCTTTTTTATATTTCTGATGTGCACAGATCAGACCCGGTGAAGATGTGAATGTTGAGGAAGCTAACAATGACGATGCTGTAAAAATGACTTCGATTGCATATCAGCAATTTACGAATAAATATCGAAAAATTAAAGAAGAAGATAAATGGACTTTGTCAACTGAAAAAACTGTTGAAGATGCATTATATGCATTCGGAATCCGAATAATGGGATTAGATTCGATAAACCAAGAGCTAATCAGATACGAATCCCACCAGCATCATCCGATCGTAGACGAAACCATATTGGTAAGTAATTTATATAGTATTAATATATAAGTTAAAACCAGATCTTAGTACCTTGTACTAGCTTTGCTAATTGAGTATTTTCTTTAGATTTGTCGCGCATCCGACGTGGTTTAAAGGCCGAGGATCTGCTTCCCGATGAGTCATAGTGAAAATAATTAGATAGATTCGCAAAAAATGTATATAGTTTTTATTATTTTCTTTGGCAGTATATGCTAGCACGTATCAAAATTTAGCGATTCTAGATCGTGCATTCCATGCAATAAAAAGTTCGGTACGTATATATCAACTTACACCGACTTAGTCTATATAAATATCTATTAGTTAAAATGCTAACACCGATCAAGGCCCATCATGGGCTACATCACAGTTGATTACAAATGCGATGCTGGGATTACAAGTTATATATATTCTATCGGGTACAGGAAGCTTCGATGATATAATATAGCCGCGATTATTTTTTTAGTATAATAAAGTTTTCGAATAAAGTTTTTCCGAGTTTAAGGCTTGTGTTTTTAACTTGTGTATGCATGAATGTGGACGTATAATGTACATCGGAATAATAAATAAGGTAGCTGCGCGGCGTCATCGCGCAAAACCAGGAACGGAAAAATAGTTAAAATTTTTAATTAAAATAATAGGAATTAAATTAGTATAATAAAAACATTATTCGAATTTTTTTAAAATTTATTAATGTATTAAAAATAATAATTTTATTTGTTTTATTTAGTGTAGTTTAAATGGGTTTTATAAATTTTAAAGTAGAATATTGATAAGCACACTGAAAACTATTATTACAGACAATTAGAAATAGAGATATAAATTTTTGTATAACATATTTATATATAAATAAATTTTAGATTATAAAGTTGAATGTATGATAATGCATATAACTCATGAATCAGATGATGACAGATTGAGTGATAGATCAAATTAATGAAAGAGTAAATCAATTAAATGTATAAAGTGAGTAATTATTAGATAGTTTTATTGATTTATAGGAATGATGTAATCATAGTATAAAGTTAATTTGGCTAATCATATGAATGGTATTAAGTAATAAGTGTAACATAAAGAGGTGAAAAGCGTAGTAAAAGGTAACGATTTTCTTGACATAAATGAATAAATTATCAATCGCCTACTCGGGATCTTTGGTAATGAAAATAAGTAACCTATAAAAAGACATAAAGATAGTAATGAATCGAGGTAATTTAATAAGACTAGAGATGGGTATTTCGCACTTATTAGTGAAGTGTGTTTAATCGTTGCATATTGTAAATTATGTAAACATTGACAACCGTTACGAACAGTATAAAATCATTCATGCACACGGTAATGATAAGTACGAGATGGTCATTTCTAGTCAAAGCATAAAGTAAGTAACGGTAATTACAGATGACATGATTAAATTTAAGAAATATAAACATAGTTTGTTTGATTAGTAGTATGAATATTTTGGGATTAGATAATAGGTAAAAATATTGGTTATAAAGGGTAATATTTTAGCATACACAAAAAATAAATAATAAATCGAGTAGCTTGTAGTGTTGGCAGGCGAAACTATTTTTGACAAATGGCGAAAGACGAAACTAAACCCGGCGAAAGACGAAACCTGGCGAAACTCTGGCGAAACGGCGAAACTCTGGCGAAACCTCTGGTAAAGTTGAAATCTCTAGGAAGAAACAAAACTCGCCAAAAATTAAATCCTCTAAGACTTTGGAAAAGACTGAGCCATGTTAGTGAATCAAAATATTTGGGTGTGGCTATTAAGCACAGCATGTGGCTTATGTAAACATTTACCAAAGCAATAAACAAAGTGATAGCCTTTTGTTCATATTCAAGTACTATTCAAAGAAACCAAGAAATCTAGACTTAAGGTTTTTGGAACTTATAAACAAATAAATTTAGCCTTGAAAATTCAAAGCCTGAAACCCTATCTTCTTTAGTAATGCTTATCTCAAAGCCTGGAATCCTGTCTTCTTTAGTAGCACTTATCTATATATTAGTATTTTTCATGTAAAATAACCTATGTAAAATAAATCTATCTAAATATTTAAATAAATTTATTGTTATATTATTTAGATTTTTATATATCATTTAACTATTAAGGTTTTAATTAAATATTATACATATGTAAGTAATTCGTTGACAGTATTATTACTGACAATTATTTTCCAATTTGCTATTTTATCTAACTCTAAATCCCACAGTTGCTTTAAGGAAATAATTGTTAGTTATTAATTTATATATGTATGACAAATCAAATGTAATAAAATTTGGATTGTTGATTATAAAACATTGCATATGACAGTGTAAATTATACAAATATTGTTTTTCAAATTAAATTTTTGTTAAGGTAAAATTAAATACTAGATTGGGTAAAAGTCTATGCAAGAAGTTTAATTGCATTCATTCTAAAATTGAGTCCTGAATATCCATGAGTAGGTTATCTAGAGTTTCGGTTTAACTTTATAAAATTAATTTTCCAAAATACCATCATACATAATACTGAAAATCTATTTTATTAATGGGCAAAAATAAGTCTGTATAATTTTATTAAAAGTCAATTAAGTAATAAGTATATTTCACTAACAATTCATTTTATCATCAGGTTTTTTAATAATTGCATTTACTTTAACTTTAATTTTAAATCTAATCTTAATGACAATAAGCAGAATTATTTTGTTAATCAATAAAATGGTAATATTATATGGATCTATTTCCGTTCTATTAGTAAAATGAATTATCAGTATTACAGTTTTGATAAAATAGAATTTAGAAAAATGGAATTTGGGAAGTGAGCAATAATCATTATTCAAATTTAAATTTATTAATATAAAATAATAATAATTATTATATTTGATTTAATTAGTATTATTAAATACAAAATAACTAATTTAATTTATTTTTATTTTTAGTATCTTTTTAAAATGAGTTCTAGTGAAGAAAATATCAGTACTACTAGTTCTAATATAGAAAAAAATAAAAAAAATATTAGTGATCATTTAGAAGGTTTAGTTTGGAATTATTTTACTAAAGAAGAAAAAAATAGAAAAAGAAAAATATAAAGCAACTTGTAATTTTTGTGGAATATTATGAAATCATGGTGAACTAGTTGAATTAAAGAGTCATTTAGCAAACCATTATTCAAAAGCAAATTCAACAACTATTAGATATTTTCTTTCAAAAATTCTTTCTAATAATTCTAAAAAAGACAAATCTAATAAAAAAAGAAAAACCAATATTTATAGAAAGCATGATCAATATGTTAGTATAATAGAATTAGATCAACCAAAAATTAAAAAAATTCATCTTACCTGAACTAGAGTATTTACTATTTGTAGAATTCCTTGGAATATTATTAAAAATCTTTTTTTTATTGAAGCATTAAAAGAAACAAATTTATTTTATAAACTACCAACATGTGGATTTTTAACAGGTCATTTATTAGAACAACAATTAGTTCTTATTAATCAAAAAACTCATAATATATTTAAACAATATTCAAATTTAACTTTAGATAAATATATTTTATATTTTTTAAAATTAAATTAAATTATAACTAATTAATTTAATTTAGTATTAGATAGATAGACTAATAAAAAAGGTTATTTAATTTGGAATTTTATAATTATTATACCTGAACATAAAGAATATTTATATAAGATTTGTGATTATTCTGATAAAATACATGCTGGAGATTTTTTAGTTAATAAAATTAATAAAGTTTTAGATTCTATTAATGTAGATCATTTTTCAGCTATAGTTAGTGATAATAGAGCTAATGTAAAACTTATATAAAATATAATTTCTTTACAATATTCACATATTTTTAGTATAAGATGTATAGCTCATACTATTAATTTAGTTGTACAAGATATTTTAAAATTTGAATAGGCAGATAAATTAATCAAAAAATACAATATTCTATATAATTTTTTTAAATCTTCACATTGAATAAATATAATATTTAATTATATTTTATATTAATTATAATATAATTTAATTTATTCTAATAATTATTTTTATTTAATTTTATATTAAAAGAGCAGAATTAAGATTATTAATAGAACTAATGAATATAAGATAGACAACTGTAAGTGAAATAATTGAAAGTATTTTAAATTTAGAAAAAGTTTTAAAAAAGATAATTAATTAAATTTATAAAATATTAATTATTATTATTAATTAATTATTATTATTTTTAGATTGTTGAAAATAATATATTAACAAATAATCAGATTAATAGTATTATTAATCATTATATTTTTTTTTATTCATTTAAGTGTACTAAATTTTGTATTATTACCTTTAAAAAAATCAATTTTATTATTAGAAAGTAGTAATGCAAGTCTTGAAGATTGTTTTTTAAGTTTTGCTAAAATAAGTGCAACATTTAAAAGATTACCAATACAACAATATACAACATTTCAACAATATTGTTTTAATATTTTAAATCAAAGATTTAAAGAATTTGATGATAATTTATATATTTTAGAATATTTTTTAATGCCAAATTTTCATAGTTAATATAATTTATATTTTATTTTAAAAATAATATCTAATTTTATTTTATATTTTAGATTTAAGATTTAAAAATGAACAATTTACTAGAATTATTAAAATTGTTGGATCTATTTGACAAAAATTTGAAAATAATCATACAAGTTGTGATATTTTAATTTCTTATCTTTGATTTTATAAAGGAAAAAAATATCTATATAATTAACTATATATTCAAGATTATGATATTCCTATAACTTGGTGAAATTCAATTGAACCAGAATCAAAATATCTTCAAGAATTGGCATTAAAAATTTTAGCAATTGTTCCAAATAGTATTTTATATAAAAGAAATTTTTTATTACTTACTTGGTTATTGGAAACAAAAGAATACAAATAAATATTCAAAATTTAGAAACAATTGCAAAATTATATACATATTATAATTCTAATACAAAAAAAGAACTTTCATATTTTGCAAATAAAATGACTGAAGATAAAGTTTTAGAAATATTAAATCAAACAAATATTGAAAATTTTGAAGAAAGATTAGAAAAAGAAGGCTTTGATAAAGATGAATTATTATTATATAATAATTTAGATTTTAATGAAAGTTATACAATGACTAAAGAAAATTTTGTCTTATTTTTAGAAGAAAATTTAGATTTAAATGATGAAATTTTTATTGATGATTTAGAAAATTTTCCTAATGAAGAAGATAATGAAGATTTATTATTAAATTCTAATGAAATTTTAGAAAATATTAATGAACAAATTAGTCAAATTTCAGGACAAGATAATTATGATTGAGAACCTGAAGATTTTATAAATTCGGATAATAATTAAAGGTAAATATTTAAATAATTTTTATTTTTATTTTTTAAATATAAATAATATTTAAATAATTTTTATTTTTATTTTTTAAATATAAATAATATTTATTAA